GACAGAGTCTGGCTCTGTCTTCCAGGCTGGAGTGCAGTGGTGCGATCTCGGCTCACTGTAACCTCTGCCTGCCGGGTCAAGCGATTCTCCTGCCTCAGCCTCCCGAGCAGCTGGGATTACAGGCGCCCGCCACCACGCCCGGCTAATTTTTGTATTTTTTTGTAGAGACAGGGTTTTGCCATGTTGGCCAGGCTGGTGTCAAGCTCCTGACCTCATGATCCGCCCGCCTCGGCCTCCCAAATTGCTGGGATTACAGGTGTGAGCCACCGCGCCCGGCCAGCATTTCCATTTTTTATCCTAAGTTATGCTCAACATGACCAATTCTTAGTCTGTGAGGGAGGTAAAGACTCTTAAGGACTAGAAGAGGTTAAATTTATCAAACTTATGCTCCTCTGGTGGTGCAATGCAGAGATTTCCCTCATATTGCCAGGGAATTTCCCTAGAATTTCATTTCCCACCTTGTGAATGCAGCAGGGTAGGAAAGTGGGGGGGGGGGGCAGTTTTGAGTAAAAGGAAGGAAAAAAACCCAGTGAAAAGCAAAGGGGGAAAATAAACTGAGCCTACTGAGGAGATGCGGCGACGGTGACGCGGTTGGGCTTACTGGAGACGCGGGGGCGCCGCTGCGCCCCCGGCGGCCTCGGCTTGGACTGGCCTCACGGAGTTGTAGTGCTCCCCGAGGGTGCAGGCGTAGTGCAGGTAGACCAGGATGATCGGCTTCTTGGTGTACTCCTCCCCGATGACCAAGGTGGGCGAGTCGGCCTGGATCACCTCGATGGGGGTCTTCAGGACGTGCGACAGGGCCCTAAGCTCCAGCTGGCCTCCCCATACTGTGGTGTGCACGATGTTGTCGCAGTAGCTCATGAAGTCGTCGTAGCCGAAGGAGTCGCCGGTCTCGGAGTTGCCGAAGAAGGGCAGGAACTCGTCGACGTGCTGCTGCATGTAGCTGGCGGCGCGGGAGCGCAGCATTTCCACCGACGTGGAGAACACCAGCTGGTCTTGAATGGCGCGATACATGCAGTGGCCATCTGCTGGGATCTGTTTCATCTCCAGACCCCTGGCCCCCAGGATGGCGGCGACCTTCTCCTCCTCCTCATGCCGGAAGCCCGCCAGGTGCTCCATCTCAGCCTGGAAGTTGCTCCCCTGGTGCCCTCTCTCCAGCGCCTCCATTCTCTCACGCTTTCTCTGGGCTTTGTGGGAGCGGGGAGGCTGGTTTTCCAGATCCATCTTGGCCAGGTCTTCGATGACAGATTCAAAGCTCCTCTCATCCTCAAACTTCTCCAACTCTTGCCGGTGCCTCTGCGCCATCTCGGCCTCCATGCGGGCCACGTCTTGGAGTAACTGCTTTCTTTTCTTCTTGTCGGTCTTGGGGACCGAGTTTTTTAAGCTCTGGATCTGGGCTTGCAGCTCCTTCTTCTCGCGTTGGTGGCGGCGCAGTATGCGCTGGTGTTCACTGTGCAGATCATCCATGATGTTGAATGGCAAGCGGGAGGTGAAATTTGCTGGCAGTTCAAGTACAGAACAGGCCAGAAGTCCTCAGCTTGTCCTAACGGTCACTCTCTTTCACCTCAGCCGGCTCTAACTGCCACTTTTGGCTCACCTCAGCCGTGGCTTCTCCGCCCCCCATTCACATTCTTCTCTGCTATTGGTCACATTGTCTCCATGGCCCCGCCCTGCAAGCATGCCCAGCACTAGGATTGGCTGTTGGGAGACTGGAAATACGCGCCCATTGGACCCCACAGCAAGCATTTTTGGCGGGATTCCAATAAGGCCTTCCTGCAATGTGTGTGGCAGTTGGGCTTGTCGAGTCTTTCGATGACTGACGGCCCACTTCATTTCCAAGTCTGCACACAATGTATGCATTAGCCAGGCCAGACAGCCATATGACAGATACTATACCATCCGCTGAATGTGCTCTTACTCTGGACTTGGTATTGCCCCTACTGTTGAGGAAACAGTGTGGTTTTCTCCGGTCTTTCACGTCCCTTCACCAGGGAACAAGGACATTTCCTTACATTCCTGCAAACACAGTCCTTTCAGTTAGCCCGCCCCCCCTGTTTTTTTTTGAGACAAAGTCCTGCTCTATTGCCAGGCTGGAGTGCAGTGGCGCAACCTCGGCTGACTGCAACCTCCGCCTCCCGGGTCCAAGTGATTCTCCAGCCTCAGTCTCCCGAGTAGCTGAGATTACAGGCGCCCGCCACCACGCCTGGCTATTTTTTGTATTTTTAGTAGAGATGGAGTTTTGCCATGTTGGCCAGGCTTGTCTTGAACTCCTGACCTCAGGTGATTCACTCACCTTGGCCTCCCAAAATGCCTGGATCATAGGCATAAGCCACCATGCCCAGCGACAAGTTTTTATTTAGCCATTTTGATAAGGGTAAAGTGATACCTCAGTGTGTGTGTGTGTGTGTGTGTGTGTGTGTGTGTGTGTTTGAGACAGTCTTACTCTGTCACCCAGGCTGGAATGCAGTGGCTCGATCTCAGCTCACTGCAACCTCCGCCTGCCCCGCCCCCCCACACCTTTCCCCCCTCCCGCGTTCAAGAGATTCTCCTGCCTCAGCCTCCCGAGTAGCTGGGATTACAGGTGCCTGCCTGCCACCATGCCGGGCTAAGTTTTGTATTTTTACTAGAGACAGAGTTTCATCATCTTGACCAGGTTGGTCTTGAATCCTGACCTCGTAATCCACCTGCCTCAGCCTCCCAAAGTGCTGGGATTACAGGTGTGAGCCACTGTGCCCAGCCTGATTGTGGTTTTAATTTGTAGTTCCCTAATGGCTAATCATGTTCACCTTTTTATGTGCTCATTTGCTATCTATGCCATATCCTTTTCAGTAAAATGTTTACGCCATTTTCCCTAATTTTTCAATTTTAAGGGATGGAGTCTAGCCCTGTCACTGAGGCTGGATGCAATGGCATGATCATGGCTCATTGCAGCCTCAAACTCCTGGCCTCAGGTGATCCTCCCACCTCAACCTCCTGAGTAGCTGGAACTACAAGCATGCACCACTGTGCTGGGCTAATTTTGAGATTTTTTTTTTTTTTTTGCCAGATGCAGGGCTTAGGCCTGTAATCCCAGCACTTTGGGAGGCCAATGGGGGAGGATCTCTTGAGGTCAGGAGTTCCAGACCAGCCTATGCAACATAATAAAACCCCATCTCTGCTAAAAATTAGCTGGTTATGGTGGTGTGTGCTTTTAGTCACAAACTACTGGTGGGGGCTGAGGTAGAAGGATAGCTTGAGCCTGGGATGCAGAGATTATAGTGAGCCCAGATTGTGACACTGCACTCCAGCCTAGGCTCAAGTGATCCTTCACCTCTGCCTCCCAAAGTACTGGTATTACAGGTGTCAGACACCATGCTCAGCCCTTCATTTGCCTATTTTCTTTTTGTCTCTCACTCTCTTCCTCCCTCCCTCCCTCCCTCCTTTCCTCCCTCCCTCCCTCCTTTCCTCCC